CCTGCCATTCAGTTTACTAGGACCTTATCCTGATTCTGAATGGGTTCAAAGTAATCTTAAAATATTGAAGACCTTTGGAGTAATAATATCATTGTCTCCCTAGTGTGCAGCAAATACCAGCAAATCTTTTGTTTTATAGTCTCTATATTTCTGGGTTAATAATTGGACTATGTTGGTAATGTAATTTAAGAAAGTTAACAAAGGAATTGGGGATACTGCATCTCTTTTATATAGCTTTGTACTTGGATACATTTACTCAGTATATGAAATTCATTTAAAAGTCTACCATTGGACTTTTATATAATTAAAATATATAAGGCCTATTTATGGCTTAAATATTACATGCTAGAAAACGCTGGGGTCTAGTCCTTACTTGGCCAATGACGGTAATCTGGGAACAGGTACTTACTTGACTTGTACCCTAAACTACTCATAGTGCGTCTTAGAACTGTGGGGTTGAGACCTAGCATAGGGTTGAAGAAGCACTGAGGGGTGATGAGAGGAAAAAAGTTTAAGAAGCCCTGAATATCATTTACCATCTACTCTCTGTACAGGGGTCATAGGAGAATTCGTGATGGAAAGTTCGTAAAGCATTTTATTTTCAGATTTTAAGTATCTCCTCGATCCCAGCCTTTATGATGGCTCTCTAATGGTGCTTAGATTTACATGTAAACATGAGTGTTATCAATTTTTGCTAATTTAAATAAAATCTTAGATTGTCCTGTTGACAAGTGTGATTTTCAAGGTGTATTATGATACTTCTCCAAAGACATTTACCAAGCACCCACTTTAATTGCAGGTGTTTCTTCACTAAGGAGTTGTACAAAACTAGATTGACTAGGCCCCCTGCCAGTTACCCATCAAAAACCTGAGACACACCAGCCATGGATTCATGTGCATAGGATTATCAAATGAGTGAATAAAAACATTGAACGAATAAAGATTATCAGTTGAACATATCAGGCCACTACATAAAAGAAATTGAGTGATCTGCTTCTGTTGTTTACTTTTTCAGAATTGTACAAAATGTGAGATTTATAGGTATCTTGGATAGCGTGTAGGCTCACAGAGCTGCACTATAGAAGCTTTTTTACCTCAGCCCATTAAAATGACCGAAAGGGAGGAATATTGCATAGAAATATCTTAAATCTATATTCCAGGCTTAAGGTATGTTCTCAAATAGCCAGTTACTATTCCACATCTAAAATAAACATACTTTGGAACACTACTCATCAAAACAGGTTCCAGTGGTGCTTTTTTTGGTTGTTTAAATAAATATGAACTAATGTGTTTTATATTGTGAATTTTGCCTCTGTAGTCCATTATGAATTTTCTAGTTGTTAAATCAACTCAGCCCTTTGTCTTTTGAAGAGAATACAACAGTATTTGGTGTAATAAATCATGGAATAGGAATTTAGAACTGATTATCTGTGATAGTTCTTTACTGAACTGCTTAAAATTAGAAAATGATACTCACCTGGGTATCATGTTCTATCCAGCAAAGTGGTGGAATAGTTCTATTTTTACTCAGAAATAGCTTCCAGTGCCACCATTTTCTTTTTAGTTAATTAAAGGCACCATCTAGAAATTCAGTTACAAAAACCTTTTTTTAATTTTGTAAAAGAGACGTTTTTCTTTCCATTTTAATTCTCCCCTTGAATATTTTTGTTAGTAATAGTAGCTAGCATTTATATAGCACTTTATGATTTGCAAAGCGCTTTACATGTTAATTGAGTTGATATAATAAATGTATACTTACATGATTTAATATACCTAGCATCTTTTTATTTTGTTCTTTTCCATGTTTATTTTTACGAGTAATAATTAAAAAATCTTAGGATGCTTCTTACATAAACTTCCAAATTTAAATATATTTGAACGTGCACATGAACAACTTTGAAAAACACTGAACTTCACTTATTCTCATTTGAAATTTTTCTCCATTTAGGCATTTCCATTTTCTCTTATCTGGTTAAAGTTTATTATTATTTTTTTTAAAGTCCTAGTAACTCCTGCTGGTGACATATTTCCTGGTTTTTGTGTTTAAAGCTGTTCTGCAAGTGAAGACTAGGGGTTTGGGCACCATCAATAGATCAGCAAAGGATAAATGTTAAAACATAAGGTTGACCATAACCAAATGATGGAATTAAAAAACAATTTGTATCAAACCCTCACTAGTCAAATAAATTTGATACTTGTCTCTTGTCCTATGCTGTGCAGTGGGACAGCCTTCTACTCCTGCAGTGCAAGTTTATAGTCCTATGAAAGCAAAAATTCCCTCTGACCTCCTGCAAATAATCAATTTCCAAGTTACCTTAATTTTTATTTCATTATTGCTGTTGTTAAATTATCTTTTAAATGCTATTAAGCATATATAAGCTTTAACACACCAAGCTTTCCATTCCTAATCAGTGCATGTTATTATAGTGCATGCTTTATATACTTTTGAGCTTTTCTTGAGTTTTATTAGTTTATGAATTTTTGTTTGGTATTATTTCTGATCCAAATCAATTTTATGAACACTTTTTAGTTGCTGATAGCCCTACACCACCACCACCTCCTCCACCAGATGAAATTCCTATGTTTGATGATTCTCCACCTCCTCCTCCACCACCCCCAGTTGATTATGAAGATGAGGAGGCTGCAGTCGTTCAGTATAATGATCCATATGCAGATGGAGATCCTGCCTGGGCCCCTAAGAGCTATATTGAGAAAGGTAAGATGCAACTCTGAGTGAATTGATCTAAAGTTTATAGTAGAGGGAAGCAATTCTGATCATGATGCCAAAAAAAACCTCCTCTGAAACAAAGTGAAAGAAAACCCTGTTCTAGTGCTTTGGGGAAAGCACTAAATGGCAGACAAATGATTTATTGGAAACTATTATAAATGGTGTCATTTTGCTAATAAAATATTAGATGAGATAAGTCACTAGGATTAAGTTCCACTGGGTCCCTTATCAAGGAATAACCTCAGTTTAATATTGACATGCTTTTAACTTTCAGTATACTTATGCATTTGATAATTATGCGTTAGGGAGGAGCAGATTCTATTTTCACTATTCTTCTCCCAATCACTGCCGTTTCAAATCTGTATGTGTATATAATTTTCTGTATCTTTTGGTAGTTCTGTCAAACACTGCTAAGCCAGTTAATGGCTTTTGTTCCTAGGCCTTAAATATCTTGCCTTCCTTCTATTTGATTACCCTAATTGAACATTTGGCCGATAAATAGAGATTTAGAGACCTGAGTAATTTTTTTGGTCAAGTTTTGAGTTTTTGGCATCAGATAGTATTTTAAATTTAAACTCAAAACAAGAATTTTCATCCAAACGAAAACATCCAAACCATTGTTAAACTATTTAGAGCCTACATGTTACATTTAAGGTTGAGGCCAGAACTGAGTAGTTCAGAATTTTATGTTACATTGATAATTCTACCTTTAGTGGCTTTATTAACCCCATCCCTGAAAATGGGACCATTTAATATTTGCATTGGTTTATGTGTGATTTTATGTGTGATTTGGAAAAGTACTACTGTGTGATATATGGAAGTTTTGGAAGTCAGGGAGAAACAGGTCAAGTTGCTCCTACCGCATACTGGCTTTGTGACTCTGGGTAGGTTACTTCAGCCTTTTAGTATTATAGCTAATTCTCTAAGACTATGAGCAGTTGCTGATCTTCATTTATAGGGGGACCTGACACTCCTCCATTTCCCCAATGGTATTAGATGGCCATTTGTAAAATGGCACAAAGCTAGGAGGGAATGATATATTGGATGATGGAATTAGGATTCATATATCCCTGATTAAACTTAATAAGAATAAATGTTAAAACTTGCTTATTTCTACAATCTGTATACATAGTCCTTCCACTCTGTTTTATAGAAACACAGAATTTCAGATTTGGAAGTAACCTCAGAAATCAGGGAGTGGGGGCAGGGATGGCGACAGGGGGACCATTTAAGGCATCTCATTCTATGTTAAAAAAAAAAAAGTTCTATTTTAAAATATTATTTTTCTATGTCAGTCCATCCTTCAATTGAACTATCCCCTGTAACAGAGAAAAACATTTAACAAGAAACAAATCAACACAACAACCATGTCTGACAGCCATATAGTATTCTTTACCATCTGTTCTCTGCTGAGAGAAGTATGTTTTGTCATCAGTTTTTGAAAATCAAAATTAATCATTACAGTCATTTGAAATTTTTATGCCTTTTAAAAGTTGTTTTTCTTCAGTTTTAGTGTGTTGTTATCTTGGTTCTACTTTCCTTGAACTACATCAGTTCATACAAGTCTCAAGTTGCTCTGAATTCCTACTATTCATCATTCTTGTGGTGTGATAATATCCCATTACATTCCTCTTTTCTAGTTCTGTCAAAAGCACCACCATTCTTCCAGTCACTTAGCTTCACAACTTTGAGGTCCTCCTCAACTCTTCTCTCTCCCTGACCCCATGTATCCAATTAGTGTATTACAAAGTCTTACTGAATCTACCTCCCTAACATCTTTCACATCTTGCCCCGTTTTTCCACTCAGAGGACCACCGCCCTCGTTCCAGCTCTACTTACAGCTTGCCTGGGCTGGTTCAATAGTTTCCTAATTGATTTCCCTGTCCTTTTTTCAGTCCACCTCCATGTAGCTTCCAAAGTCTGAATTTCTAAATCCCAGTTCTAACCTTGTCATTTCCCAGCCCAAAAAGCTGCACTGGTTTCCAGTTGCCTCTGAGATTAAATATAGATTCCCTTGTATCATCTGAAGCCAGATTGTGAAGGGCATGTATTTGATACTGTTCTAATTTGTCAAGATGTTTTGGAATCCTGACTGTCATCCAGTGCTTTGGGCTGTTCTTTCCAGTTTTGTTATCTGCAGATTTGATAAGCATGCATGCCATTGAGTTGCTGGGACAAAAAGCCTTCATTAGCTGGTGGGCAGGCTTCTGGGAATGAACCTCTCTGAATTTAGGTAGGCTAGTTGCTGGAGAGAAGGAGCTTCATTCAGTTGCCATGTCTGTACTTGAACTTGGTAGAACTTGTCAGAGCTTGCATTCCATTTTTTTCATCTTAGTACGTGGTTGGAAAAAATTGCAAGTATAGCTTTTGTTATAGCTTTCAAGAACCCCAGCCTCTGTGTCAGGGATGAAGCATGGAGGGAAGACTTTGGAGTAGCCATTATGTCCTATGCTTTTATTCCTTTAAAAAAAAAAAGTAGTGGTGACCTGGCTTAATAATGGTTAATATGGAAGAAGTTGTAGGGGTTTCAGTTGACAAATAAGTGTCTCTTGAGTTATGTTTGATATAGTTGCTAAATAAATGAATATAATCTTCAGCTGCATTAATATAAATATTATGCCCCAAAGAAGGGAGATAATACTCCTGTGATAGTCATCACTAGCCTGAGTACATCTAAAGTATTGTAGTAGTTCTTGGTGCCACATTTTAATATGGACCTTGGCAGACTGAAACCTTTTCAGGGGATGGTGGCCAGGATGGTAAAGACTTTGAAACCGCTGCCATAAGAAATGCTCAGTGGTGGGGGGGACAGCAGTAAGGATAGGAGGGGCTAGCCTGGAAAGAAGGCAGTTGGGAACATGATAACTGATGATATATTAAAAGGCATGCCATGTGGAAGGAGGATTAGACTTCTTTGTCTTTCCAGAGGGCAGTGGGTGGAAGTTAACAGGGAGGCAGATTTTAGCAGGGTACAAAAAAGAATTGTCAAATGGAGCTCTCAAAAACAAGGAACCGTCTGCTTTGTGAAATAATGAGCTCCTAGTAACTGAAAATATTGGAGCAGAGGCTGTCTGCCCAGAGTCAGGGGTGTTGGAGAGGGCAGACTTTGTTCCAGGGAAGGTTGGATTAGTGTACCTCCAAGTTTCCCTTTTCATTCTTCACCTTGTAGCATTCTAAAAGTTTGATATAAGTATAAGAACATAACTATCTTAATTCACTGGTCCACAGATGAGGTGCAGAGGAACAAGATGAGCCACATTTTTTATTCTCTTTGATGACTAATAAACACACCAAATCTTTGTCATAATCACTACATGTTTTCTTCCCAAATCTAACCATCTGTGATTTGGAGAAAAAAGAAACAACTTTCTTTTCAATGAAAATAAATGATGTCTTGGTAGTTTTTTCCCCATAATAAAAGCCCTTTATTCTAGCCATCACATTTCTGCCTTTTTGAAAGAACCCCACTTTCACTGACCACACCTGCTTCCTGCCCCATCTTCTGTATTTTTGCTTGTTTTAAAACCTTGAATGCTACAATACTCTTTAATCCCAGTGAATTCATTACCCTGTTTTGTCACAAAAATCTAGCATTTTGATTAATTGCAAGATTAAGAATAAGCATAAAGTGATGTTTTTGTAATGATTGCCTACTAATACATAATCTTGAAATTGAACTTAGCATTGCAGTAGTTAGTGGATTCGTATTTCTTGTTGGCTGTTATAACACTTCCCTATAATAGGGGCCACAACAACTTGTATATTTTGTAATTAAAATTTTCTCTAGAGATATACTTTAAAATTCCAGTACATACATGGGTACCAGTTATAAAAATATTTATAACATAAAATTGTCACTTAACCCAGCAGCGTGGGGTTGACTGCTGTCATACATACTATGATAAATTTGAGAAAACACTTCATTGAAATTATTGAATTTGTTGTACTAGAAAGGAAATGGCAGTGTGAAGATCATTTTAGCATGCTTATTTAATACTTCAACTCTTTTTTTCTCCCTTTAGTTGTTGCTATATATGATTATACAAAGGACAAGGATGATGAGCTGTCTTTTATGGAGGGTGCAATCATTTATGTTATAAAGAAGAATGATGATGGATGGTATGAAGGAGTCTGCAATCGAGTGACTGGCTTGTTCCCTGGAAATTACGTTGAATCAATCATGCACTATACTGATTGAGATTCTTTTGCTTTTCAAATGGGATCTTGTATTCAATCATACTGTGGGACAACTATAATGGTGAACAGATCTGTCTCACTGTTTTAGAATGTGCCCATTTTTTCAGGACATGCTGTTTTATCAGTATGATTGAATGTTCATTCATGAGCATAACTTTTGGGAGACAGTTTATGTATTGCTGAAGAGCATTTTGTACAAATAACTGTCTGTAATAGGCTATGCTTATGTATTTACTTATGCATTCTTAATTTTATGACCAGCCTAAATATTCTGGGGAAGTAGGGTTTAGTATTTAATGAATCATGATTCCAATTGTGCCATTACATTTTTCAGTGCAGCATGGTAACTAACACTACGTTAGACTAACATTAAGAATCTGGAAGAAAAGTTTAATGCTAGTGCTGGTCATACTTTTGTTTAGTTTCTTGCTCATTTTTGAACTATACTATTTGTTTAAAGCATGCATACAAACTTATGTATTGAAATATACTTCAAAAAAAATCCAAGATGCTTCCAATTTGTTGTAATCTTTACCTAGAGTACTCACACAGAAGTCTATTAAATTGTTGAGTCTCTAAGGTATCCATGTGAAACAAAACTGGGTGGTCTTCTGTATGTTGTAATTTGTACCTAAGTTTTTTTAATGAGTGAATTTGCATTTTCACTTTTTCCATTCATAAATACATAAGTGAACCAAAGGTCTTGTCCTTTCCTTCATTGGTTTGCTTTTTTAAAAATAAAAGTATGAATTTATTGCAGAATAATGCTTCTATTTTCTCAGCACATTCTCCATGAACAAAAAATTGGTGTAGGCCTTATATTAACTTGCCCTGACTTAGAAGAAAGTGACTTATTTTGGATATTTTTCTAAAATTTTCTTTCAAAGATAAGATAATGTATAAAAGGGATCAGATTATTGTAATTAAAATTTAGACAAGATTGTCTAATTATGGGGTCCAATTTACTGCCATATACCATTCCATGAGTTTTACAGCTGCCTTTTTCAATTATTATTGATCAAATGCTGGTTCAGTATAAGGAAACCAGAGCACCATTTACAAATAACTTTTGTAAAAGTGGATGCTATTGACTTTTGTACTGGCGCTATTAAATCCATTATCTGGCTGTGGCAACCTAAAACACGATATATATAGTTGCTATGTTAATCAGTGAAAATAGGGACCATCCCCAAACTGGAGGCTTCATTTGTCATTAAAAGTATCACGTCCACTTTGTGTGTCTCCTCTTGATTTAAGGAAGGGCTTTTGGTCAGATCTTCAGAGGTGACATTTCTGTTCTTGTCTTGTCCAAATCTATATTACTTAGGATATCTAAAGTAGAACATGTTAATGTGGGTTTCTGTGTATTGAGGACTTGTTTGGGTTTCAAAGTATAGTCAGTTGTATCAGGTATTTCAAATTTTGGCACAGTGAATGAAAAAGTTCAGTATAAAACATTTGTTTCTGAAAAATAGATAAACACCTTCTGTTTCATCCTAGGTCAATGTGACTGCTTTATTCCTTTGTTTATTGTAAACATGATTTCAATATCATTAGTGATCAAATAACTTTCATTTTGCTGTTATCAATTGGAAAGTTTTCTTAATTTGTATATAACCTATTGTCTAAATTTTATGTACAGTCTTTTATAATAAATCATTCTCCTATATACAATTTTGGGTACTGTTAAATATAACCAAAACTTAAGCTTGAATCTGAAGTTTGCTGTTTTTCTGTCACTTTTATATTCCCAAATGTTCTATAGGAAAGGTGAAAAATCCAAATCTTTTAAACATTGATTATTTATTCTTGTTGTGGCCTTACATGTGGATATTAACATTGTAAACAATATCACACAAATAATACCCCCATTAAAGTTTACAGCACTAGAACCAAGGACAGATTCAGATGGTTTAATGACATAGTTATGGCTTCCTTCAATAGAACTGGCTTTAAAAAGTTCTTTTAAAAATTGCCAATAAACGAAGTTGAAATGATTTAAAAAAAAAAAAAGAAAAAAGAAAAAGATTTTTGGTAATCTGCACTGGAAGCAAAAAAAAGTGTTCCATAAAATTGTTTAGGCACAGTCTGGTAAATAGCTGCCACAGAAAATGGAAAGGTGTCATTTATCTCTTGTGAGTACAATTTCTGTGAGTTGGATGAGGGCGTCTCTTTCAGGAGATGGTCGAAGTTTACTGATCTCCCTTATTGCTTTATGGCAGTATTGTTGGGCGAGGTAGGTTGTTTGTTGTACACCGTCACTCTGCAGGGGGGAGGAAAGGCGTGTTACTGAATGTACTAGTCTTTACTTCCGTTGCCATATTGAAATCATTTTAGTGTGTTCATTGGACATTTCAAGTCTTCCTATGAATAAGAGGCAGTGCAAGGCAACTCTAGCATCATAAGTTGAAGAGCCCTGGTGGAAGGAGCTCGCCAGCAGGACTCCCTACTTAAGAGACACACAAATAACTTCAATCATTTACTCTAAAAGGCTTAGTATAGATAACTCAAGGCTCCCTTACTGTGAAATTAATTAGGTGATTTCATGATGATACTACATAGCAGTATATCATTTGACTTCCAAACCATAAGACTCTAGAGATATAATGAAGAAGTAATTTAAGGTGGACTTAGAAACCCTTGTTTTTCTAGGGCTAAGTTGAGTAGTTAAAGCTTTTAAAAACGGTTCATCAGCTGGCGCTTAACCTTTTGGATGTTGGCTGCTCCATCACCAGGCTTATTCATGCTGGGAACGTTCCCAGTTTGGCAGAGCTCGCCAGACTCTGTTCTGATGGCACAGCCTGTACTCAGCAGGCCGTCCTGAGCCTTGCAGCAACTCTTCAACTATAGTCTTGGGTCATTTGTTGGCCGACTCCTTCCCTTCAGCCAGTTTTGACAAGGTTCCCCCCTTAAGAAGCTGAACAGACTTTACGGTTATTCTCACTAAATCTTAGTAATACTAAGATTGCGAGTTATGTGGTACAGTAGAATATTGGATCTGGATCTGAAGACCTAAGCTCAAATCAGGGCTCGACCACTTTAGCGAGTGAAAACAGGCAATTCGTCTAACCTCGAAGGGATCCATTTCTTTATGTATCTGTGAGGGAGTCAAGCTAGATGGTTTCCAAGTACCTTTCTAACTCTCAATCTTGGATCTTATGATTTCGGTAGATACTTTGTAATTGCTTCACAAATAACTGACCAACACGTGATAACTCAGCAATCCTTATGACAACCATTTCCAAAACTTTGAATTCACCCTCAAACCAAAAGCTTTGCATGCCGTGGCGTACAGGTTCTAAAGACAATTCTCAAAATGTAACAAATGTATCCATATTGTTGGAAGTAAAATATAGAGACTTCCAAAGTAGCAATAATTATTTGAATGTTATCTTGACTGTTTGCTAGGAATGACATCAAAACTACACCTCCTACTATGGCAGCAATATGTAGCATGGCTTAGCAAACAGAGGCAAGAGGACCACTCAGGTCCTTTAGTCTCAGTAAAAGGTCTGGATGAGAATGACAATACAGAAAGAAGTAATTAGCAGAACCTGGTGACAGGCTGAGAGCTAAGTGCAAACAATGACCCTAAGGACGATCCCAAGGTTTACATGTGGATGAATGGTGCCATTCCAGAAAAGGCCAAGTTTGGACAGGAAGATGGGTTGGGGGTAGGGTTTGTGAAAAAGGTGGGATTATAAGGCCTGCCATTTCCCCATTAACACAAATTATAGTTAGATTATTTTTATAATACTTAACAGTTAAGCTATTTTGCTTGGCTTTAAAGTAAGCTTTGATATGTCATAATTGATAAACTGGTACTTACTTGCAATACATATTGCCGAGCACGTTCCACATCTCCTGGTAAACTGAATCGTCTCATTATCATTGCATTCATCTCTGGGAACTAATGAAAGAAAAACAATTCTTACTGATAAGTAAATTCATCATCTAAAGATATATTTTTATTTTTACTGCTGTGATACTGCTACACAGGACTTGTTTTTATCTTTAAATCTCTAGCACCAAACACAGTGCCTAACTTATACTAGGTGCTTAATAAATGTGTAACTTTAATTTTATAATCAAATATCTGAGCAGCTGGCAAGTTCTTTAAATTCCCATCTCTATAGTCTCATTTATTCTCTTTTATCTCCTCAGCACAGCTACTACTCTAGTTCAGGCTAACCTTCTGAACTATTCTCCCAGTTTTCGTTCTCTTGGTTTCTAAGCCCTTTTCTGTACAGCTGCCAAAATGATCTTTTCAAGACACAAGGCTGTCCTGGTTATTCTACTGCTTAAAAACCTTCAGGGGCTCCCTATGGCCCCTAGGATAAAAAATAAGAAACTACTTGACCAGACACTGATCTTCTACAATCTGGGTTTTACTTAGCTTTCATGTCTTTATTCGTATTATTCTCCTTCACACACTCTTAATTTCTGCCAAATTAGACCATTAGTTGCTCCCTAAACCCGCTACACTATCCATCTCCTGCCTTTGTGCCTGTTCAGAGGCTATCCTTCATTTATGAAATTTATTTCCTCTTCACCATGTGACCATCCTAACCTTTCTTTTCTATTTATGGACATTTTTAAAATGTAGATTCTCTTTTTATGATTATTTGCTTGCAGTGTATTGAAATCTGATCACTCTAGCCATGGGCCTCCACAATGTCTTTTTTGGGGGCATGATCCTAAATTTTAGTTTACTTGTATTACCTTTGTACATGTAACCTTTACTAGAATGCAAGCTCTTTTAAAAGACAGAGGCTAGTGTTTCCTATCTCTGGTACCCAGCATAATGCCTTACATATGTTTTTTAAATTGAACTGAAATGGAACCAGAGGACATCTGGCTATTTAAGAAACAAATAAAGCTTAGCATAAATACATCAGTATCAAATGCTGTTTTCACCTAAATTCTATACTTTTAAGCCACTACCACTTGGATTTATTTTAGGTAGCCTCTCTATTGAGAAAGAAATAAAGATGTTCCCCTAATTTAGTTTTGTGTCTCCCATGAATATGAAAGCCTAAGCTCAGGGCCTTCCCTGTTTGTTTAGCCTCATAAAAGATGAGAAAATGTTGTCTATCACTTCTGAAATTCCAGCAAACTTCCAAATTGAATGTTTTAAAGGAACAGAAGGTACCGAAGGTTCCACAGCTTATCTGAGTATCACATGAAACAAATCACTGATCAACACAGGATTAAAAATGTGTTAGAAATAACAAAGATGCACATAATCAAGAGTTTACTATGATTACTTTCTTCCAGTGTGATTAGGACACTTTTTTTTTTAGGAAGTAACTAACTGGCTAAGAGTACTCTGAAATTGCCTAATGAATATTATAAAACCAAACCAGAGACTGCTTTGTTATGACAGCCAGTAAAAAGATCAAATGAGAATGAGGATGTGTTATTTGGGGACTAACCTCGTTTTACTAAAATTGAATTCTCCACTAGGCATTCTCTTAGCTGACAAGCCTATCACAATAGAGAAATTGTCTTCATTTCTCTCTGCACGTAAGACTTGAAACAAGAAAAGAACATCTGGAAACTTGTAATTTAAAATTAACGTGACTTTGAGAGCTTGTCGGTGTGGCTGCCACTTTACTTTGCTGACACTGTGTCTCAACTTGTGGTTTTATTTTTAAAATTTATGAAGTTCAGTCCCAATCTAGCTGACCTGTGGCCTTCATCACACACAGCGCCCCCTTGCTTCCTGCTTTGTCTTGTCTTTCTCAGACTGTTCCCTTTTCAGGCCATAGCTGACAGATGGCAGGGCCTGAAATCTTGTGGCAGTGAGTGTGCTGCCCATCCTGTGACTCTGGGATTTCCCAGTGAAACAAGGATGGCAGTGTCTTAGGGCCTCAGGCTCCAGTCCTCCAGCTCAGGGTACTTTTTTTCTTCTTTTAATTCTTGACTTGTTTTTCTCTGCATTTATCTCTCTTGCAGAGTGGTAAGCTAAAATGAAACACAGGCCACTCGTCCTGAGGTGGGGTCAGGAACCTGACCTCAGTGTAAGGGAGGGGACAATCTGGGAGAAGTTAAGGAAAAAAATCTGCTGTGAAGCCTAATAGCAAAATACCATATTTTGGGTGTATGTGCAACAAATGTTTATGAAGTTCCCATTAGGCATAGCACTGTGCCTGTTTGTTGTCCTGGGATACAAATCCAAGGGCAGGTCCTGCCCACAAACAGCTCATCTTGTATTGGTAGATGCCAGAT